AAATTTTAAGTAGAGTCAGATAATAAAAATCGAAGATTCTATCAATTTTTCTAGTACGGTAATCCACTTAAACAATATTGAACACATTTAATTAGTTACATGGGAATTTCTATGATTTTGTTGTATACTAAATAGTTTTTTTTTTATATCTCTTAGCATAATTTGTTTTATTTTAGTTTCTACTTACCTCCGTTTTAACTTGTTCAAACGGTTCATTGGCAAATTACTTGCTTGCTAGTCTCAAATATTATACGTAAATGTTGAGTGTTATGATAATTACTTTAAAATGATATTGGAGAGTGTGTTATAAAGGCGTCAGCGAACGAATGAAACACATTCCTGCAGTAGGCTATGAGCCACACCTGTTGTATGATGGCTAGTGATACTGCCTACCTGACCAAACCTTGGTAGATGGAGTAATGTTTGGACCCGTGACCCACTGGTTGATAGTCATCTCCCTAAACCACTGAGGGCGTCAATGTGGAATAAAAGGAACTTACAATCCTTTACGTTGTCCAGTGGCTGCATTTGACTTAAAAGATGCTCTTACCACACGGTTAATTCACAACACTGCTATAAAACCTTATTTATAAGTTCGCTCAGACCATTTATCCGTGTATCACAGACAGATCAACCCAAGGGCTGGCAAAACATGTATTACTTCTAATTTGCCAGTATCCATAGCACCAAGTAAAGAAAAAGTGGATCGAAAACGAATGTAATAGAAGTTGAAAATTTTGTATAAGCGTTGAGAGAACCAATTAATGCAAGTTAATAAAATGCAGAAGAGTGTATAGATCGACACTATTGTGACCGATATGTAGCCATATGTCGCAAAACATGTTCAACCATTGATTTATACTATCTCAACGACCCTATCTAGACAGTCTACGCATCCGTGAGTGGTCTAACACAGCAGTCGTCGACTTAATAGAGTCGTTCCGCATCCCGGTTTCACGACTCTGAGCTCCCTTCCAATCCCATTCTATTTCAAATACCATCCTACGTCGAGGTAGGCAGCGTTTGGGAATGTGCAACTTGTGTGCAAGCCACATCAGTTGCAGAAGGCTCACGATCTCATCAACTCCCTTTCCCTGCCTAGGACTCTACTTCTAGCATCATCATTACTCGCGCGTTGGCTCTACAACGTATGAGTGATTCTAAACTGACACCTATGGTCAAAAATCTGTAGTCTTTTAATGTCCTATACTTTCACGAGTTATATCTCATTTGTCTGATAGCAATCAGAGAAACTGTGAGCGGTATTTTCTCAGATAGATTTAAATAGATAGTTTCAATATAGGTTCTAGCATGACTGATTAGCGGTCCAAGTTCCAATACTTCACATAATAATATAATATAATATACACAATAATAATAATATATTTGATTTATTCCGCATCATAATTATGTTTGCAGTACAGAATTCTCAGTGTGTGTTATTACATCAGTTTACCCATTGTACAACATTTTAAAAATACTAACAATCATTCTGTTTGACAATATATAATAACGAATAAAAGGATTATTGAAATGTTTAGTTACTTCAGGGACATGATAACTATTCACTCTTACAAAGTTGATTGATATGTCTAACAAGATTTTCTTCCGACAGTACAAAAGATAAATAAGGTGATATGGATGAACTCTTGTATGTGGTTGTGCATGCATTGAGTTTGATGCATTTGCTTCTTGTCTTCCCAGAAGATAGATAACGAGAGAGGTGCGGATGCAGAGGATGCTTGTCATCAGTTAATATACTTTTCGCCAGTGGTCTACAAGAGTTCAGATACCTATTCACGAATGCATTTATCACCTCAGTTACGGTTTTACTACTTGCTCTACTAACAACCTTCAAAATTCTACGCAACACAACATAGTTCTTTTTTCGGAGTCCAGGAAAGAATAAAGGGGAACAATAAGCAAGTATAGGTAAAACACAGGAATCAATGAAACGTAAGAGTGTTGGCTGAGTTGTGCCAGAAAGTTTGAGTTTCCTAATACAAAAGGTGAAGCAAAGGATTTTCCTAGAGATCAAGAAGGTGTGAGGGGACCAAGAAAGACCAGAAGAAAAGCATAAGTCAAGATGGACCATGCTTGCCACATTCTCTACAACCAAGTCATCTATAAGACAAGAGTGATGGAGTTAAAGCAGGGTACAAAGGTCTTTTTCATGTCTTCAGCTTAAATAAACCATCTGACATTTGGAGGGATTGAGTGTGAGGCCATTTAAGGAAGACCAGTAACCAATTCGGTTTAGGAAGTTATTAAACTGAGAGCAATCAGAAGAGGAGATGATCGATATGGATACTGTCAGGCCATCAGCATACTTAACAAAGTTACCTTTAGTTGAGGTTGGTAAGTCATTCAAAAAGAAAAAAAAGAAAGGAGAAAGAACAGCACCTTGAGGCACACCTGCTTCACTAAGCAGCAAAGTAGAGCATTCCCCTCCGTATAAAGTGTATTCTTTTCTCTCAGGAAAGTGTGAATCAAGCTAGTTTACAATCCAGAACTCAATGTGAGTATTGGCAAACTTGTTTAACAAGTAGGGTCTAGGGATAGAGTCAGAGACAGAAATATAATTTAAGAAGGGAGATCTAACATACTTAGCACCTTTGTCCAGACTGGCAATAATTATTTATTATTATTTGTCCCTTGGGTTCCTAGTGGAACATAGGGGTTCAGTAACACGTCTCTATTGCACTCTGTTTTCACATAATATTACATAATACATCACATCAACACATCAAGTAACAACGCGTTAAGATGAAAAAGGAAAGCAGTCAAGAGTGGTAGAAAGCCGTGAAAAAAAACACAAGAAGGAATGAAAAATGCTGAAATATAAAGTGTGCGTGTATCTGCGCCAATAAGATTTATTCTGAGCCACATCAGGTGGAATTCATCAACTGCTGCCTACGCTCAATGCTGATGATCAGATGACCAGAATAATAGGAATAAGCAGCAAGGAACTCTGGCATGGCGAGGAACCAACTAAGAACCTATCACCCAACAAATATGTAGAAGGAAGTGGAGATGGATTGGACTGGGCATACACTGGGAAGACCAACTGGGGATATCACGCGCCAGGCCCTTGAGTGGAATCCAAATGGGAAACGACAAGCTGGTCGTCTGAGTCGAAAGTGACATAGAGGAGATCATGTGAGGAAGAAATGAAAGCTTGTGAGGAGTCATGGAGCCCGGTTGAAAAAAACTGAAGAGAACAGAGTACGATGGAGACGTATTACTTAAACATTATGTTCCTCTATGAACCCAAGGGACAAATAATAAATAATAATAATACATCAGGTGTAGTTGGCAATCACTATTTTCAGTTGTTATGCAGATACCAACCAAGAAGTCTTTATTTCTTTACATGACTCAGATCAATAGTCAGAAGCGTCAGTCTGCTCACCTCTAACCTACCGGCATCTGACACTGAGTCCAGTACAATTAGATCTGATATTCTGCATTTCACCATTCAGTCTTACTATTCTCCTTTGTTTATTTGGTTAGATTTTCACTTGTACATGCTTTATCATATTCTCTTGGTCATAGAAACCTAAACGTTTTTACAATTTGTAAAAATAACTGGACCACTCTAAAACAAGTCGTTCATTAACGTTATCTACTCCTGAATTCAGAGCTTAAAGTTTATTCAAGACTCATATAGAAGACATTTTATGTATAGCTTCATTTCAATGATGAAATGCCCAATACCAAAAAACAGCAAAAATTTTATGTTTTAACTTTCCGAAATATTCGTCACGGTACGTATCCCACAAACTTTTGTTCACTGTGTTTCTGTTGCGTTTGTTTATTTGGCAAGAATCATTAATATATTGTCTTCCTGATAACTTTCCACGCTTTGAGTAAAAGGACGTCAGAGATTATGATAATTCATTGTAATTTCCCGTTGCTATACAAGGCCGAATCGCTCAATCTCTGTTGGCAGATGGGCTCCTATGCAGATGCCTGGATACTGCCGGATATTCATGATGTTGTATTGATCTTGGTGACTAGCAGAGGAATCTAGGACGCGCGTTTCGTCCTATTTGGGACTCATCAGCCGGACATGCCTGGACCTCAGTGAGTGATGTTGTTCTCACTGAGGCTCGAACCCTGGAGCTTTATCCACTAAACCACTGGGACACGATAGCCACCTCCTTTTTCAACGGGTGTCGGTTGTTGTAATGATACTTTTAATTTCCTGTTGCTATACACGACCGAATTGCTTGAGAGCCAGCCAGCTGACGAGTCCTGAATAGGACGAGACGCGCGTCCCGAATTCCTCTGCTAGTCACCGAGATCAATATAACGGTCGTCAGAGATGTTTCTTAGTTGGGTTAATAGTAATTTTATGTTATTGCTTGTATTACACTGTCGTTGATTGAATCGAATTGATCAGTCTCTGTTGGCATATGGGCTCCTGTGTGGATGCCTCAATATTGCCTGTGTTTTAATTATGCATAGTAATGATGGGTAGTGGATAGTAGTGGGATCCAGAATGCGCATTTCGTCCTATTAGGAACTCGTTAGCTGGATGTACCTGCCTCCCAGTAAGTGATGTTGTTCCCACCGAGATTTGGATTCGGGAGCGATTGCTTCAAACGCAAGAGCGTTATCCACTATGATTAGTTTTTATTGGAAGTATTATTATGCATATATTGACCTATGACACACTCTTCTTAAAATTAATGTTTCTAGTTTATATTTCCTTTTTTTTCATGTTATTTTCGTATCTTTATATGCATGTTTTACGTTAAAGATCTCCAGAAAACTGATCATCAACTATTGAACTACATGTCGATAGTGATTGTGAATATTCTGATATACTTAATTGGGATGGCATTGATTCACTTCCATAAGTTGGAAGATGAAACTATGTAATCTTGTAAAGGAAATGTATATTATATGCTGAAACTTAATATTTTAAATTCTTAATGACTATTGATATATAGTTTTTATTGTTTTCCAAATTATTACTCTTATCTTTCCAACAGGTATTTCTGGCTGTTTCAATTGCCATAATGGATGTCAATTATAGAAAAATAGCTATTTGGTTAACAAATTTAGAAAATCATCGTTTAGAAGATGATTACAATAATTATTATGTCATCAAATTGATTTTGGTATGTTTTATGCTAATAGTTTTACTGTGTTTACAATCGATTCATTTGTATAAATAAATTTTTCAAATTTTGACAATTTCATCGTCAAGGGAGTTACATATCACCGATGTTCAATTATATATTCAGTGTTTATAGCAGTTTTGATTGATACAATCCATCCACACCTCAAATTTTCGTTTTATTTCAATCATTAAATATTTTACAATACTGTCTCATCATGTAGACAAGAAACTTGTACCATTTTATCTTATATCACCCACTTCATCAGTCTATTCACTTTTACCAAATAACTGAAGTACATGAGAACAACTGTATATAGAGATTAGAATTTCATTCTGTTTATATCATCAGTTTATATTACTATGCAATGTTTTTCACTATATTATATATACTAGAAAGTGAGAAGAGTATTTGGAAACCACTCCAACTAATCAGTAGTATCATCTGATTTGATCATGTTGACCTTACCTTCAGATGATTATTTTTTTTCTGTTCAGCAAACACTTCAATTGCATACTGGTTTCATTCTATCTCAGGTAGTTAAATTGTTCATATCATCTTAGAACTGGACTACTTATTGTTAACCAGTTAATCAGATGTTATTGTAGTTCCCTTTAGAAATCTCTGTTAGCAATCATTACAGACTGGTAATAAATAGTTCCATTTTAGTCTATTTCTTAGAAATATCACACAGTGAAACAGTATCATTTACTGGTTAACGTTTTGAATGTAATTTAATGTCAATACTCATACCTGGTCAGGACAATAAATTATGTTGGAAACGTTATCCAATAAATGATAAGATACTCTTTCACTGTCTAACATTTTTAATAAATAGACTAAAATGGAATGATAATTTACCACAGTGTTCAACTTTTACTTATATTTTAATATCATAAATAGTCTCCAATTACTAATGTAAGCTGGTAGTGCATTTTTTTAGATATCACCGGAGCACTTTCTTCAAGTCATTCCTAATATAAAGTTCATCGAAATTTGTGGTCTGGAAATTTTACTTTTCAATAGAAAATATGATGCAGTTTCACAGTTAGTTTACTCTTGGTTGTGTAGAAATCATGATGAATTTTTGTAGTTCAGAATGTGTACTCTCAGAACGATTTCTTATCTGAGCTAGAGTTTTAGCTGGAAAACGTTTCGGTTTCATTCTAGGAATCGTCATTAGTGCATTAAAGTTTCACAAGGAAGTAAAGTGGCTGTTTTTGCCCGAATATTTATAACGTACTATTACGCCTGAGTGTAATTTGATTGACCTGTTGATGGGCGAGTGGGCGTATATCAAACCTCATTGTTTGACTTCCTGCCTGTAGTTCTGTCAGGAATGTGCAACTACGCGATTGGTTGGTTTCTTTCGTTTCCTTGTATCAGGTTTCTTTTGTTAATTTCTCTAGTCAATTCTGTTTGTTTAGTTGTGTAATTCTCATTGTGGATGTAGAATTCTGCAAATACTTACTTCAACTTCTGTATCTTTAAAGAATTCTTTCATACGAATTTCTACCTCCGTATGTCCTGCTGTAATGTATGCTGCCGGGTGTAATTTTTGAACGAATTCTTCAATCAACACGATACTGATCTACAGGAAGCCAACTTGGACAAGATAGCATCTTAGTTCCCATGGCTCTTATCCAACCCAATGCAAACACAGACTAATCATGTGGATATATTCAGCAGGAAAGATCACATCTATTGAGAGCACAATAAGGACAAATTCTTGACGATTACACTGACGCAGAATGGATACCTGTTGGAAATTATCAGTAGGTGCAAAACTTCAGAAGCAATGAGACCTATCCAATGTCCAGTCTGCAAAACATCATATCTCACCATTATTTAAAAGTGATTCAGTTAGCTTTATTATGAAAAAAGGCTTAGATCAGTAACTAACTAAACATACTAAGCAACCAAGGTCATCATTACAAAAGAGATAAAGTTTATACTTTGACACAAAGCAGAAAAATATATAAATGACTACATCACGCCCCACAATACCCACCAATTGATATGTGTATGCATGGAGGGGGGCTGCACAGACACATGGATGAGCGATTGTGATATGCAATTGAGAGTGGCTGAACATGTGCCTAGATGGCTTGGATAACGAATTCCCTTGAATGATTCGATGAGTGCAGGTGACAAACGTATACCTTTGTAAACTAATTGTAGGTTTAACGTTTAATCTACCTTTAATGTTTTACATTAGTACAGTCAAGGACGAGTCTCTGGTCACAACCAGCGAAGCTAACCAAGTCGAACATGAGGACAGTTACTCAACGACGGCATCGGATGTAGGTCGCGCTATATCGTGAACTGACAGAAGTATGAAATGTGGACCATTGGATTCCGAACCAGTGGCTCAATAGTTACGTGCTGTCCATGGAGCCTGAAGGTCCTGGTTTCGATCCCTGGAGGGTGCTCGCTGCTGAGGTGTCCCATACTAGGACGAAACGGCTATCCAGGTCTTCAACGTTCTTCCAACTGATGTCAGTTCATGATGCATTCCAACCTGAAATCGATTATTATTATTATTGATTGCTGATAAACTTTAGTTTGTAGAATTATCTGAATTTGAGACGATTATGATTGTAGTTGACAGGATCTGAGAGATACTGGTTTGACACTCGTCCAAGTTGCCTTTCATTGCCAACAACATCTTGGCAGCCTACTTAGATTTTGACCTGTCAAAAGTTTTACACCGAGTAGTATTATAGCAGTTTGGCCCTTTTGAATTTATTTTGATCATTCAAATATATCTTCAAGTTGTACCATAATCACTGGCTGGGTCATTGTTGTTTGATATTCTTCTGGCTCAACAAAGTACTGAAACAGACAGAGAGAGAGAAAGAGAGAAAATTGTCATATAATCATTAGCAGTTTGGAATATTTAGTGTATTCTTGTTATCCATGACGACTGGGACTAACCATGAAGGTTTGCTCTTATGATGAATGAGATTTAAAAATGAAACATTATTTGCCTTCCATTCAGTACTCATCATGGATTGGCATCTAACGGAGAACCACTGAAGATCTGGGAGGACTGTGCAGCTATTTCTTCCTAGCATACGACTCAGCAGTGCTCACGTATGATCCTTCTAAAGATCGACCTAAGGACCGCCAAGTTTTGCGGCGAGTACGTTATCATTGAGCCACTGAGTCGGAGTTCAGTGGTTCATAGTTTTCTACTTCTGTCAATTCGTGATATAATGCGATTATCATTCCAAGTCATTAGTTGATATGTGTTTCACTTTTGGCTTGGTTGACTCTATATGTTCTGACTTCTCATTAGAACTCTGTGAAATCTCATCTTGAAGCATGGCACTAACGAGCAGTGGATAGTAATTCAGTTCGAAGGTTTGTGGGGATTTACTGATTGATTTTAAGTTGGTATTTATCATGGACTGACATCAATTGGAGAACCACTGGATAAAAATAATCTCTTTCCTAATAATTTGGTTGGTTGTGGCTAGGAGAAGAATCCAGGACGCGCGTTTCACCCAATATGCGACTTGTCAGCTGGATGTGCCTGCACCCCAGTTAGTGATAATGTTCCCACTCAGACTGGGACCTCGTGCCCATCGCTTCAAACGCCAAGGCGTTATCCACTATGCCACAGAGTAACGATAGCCACTTCTTGTACAACGGGTAGTAGTTATTAGTATTTATTGACCAACTTGTTATTCTCTGTTGTTTTGTTGGATAGAATTGTTCGACCTCTATTGGCATATAGGCTCCTGTGTGGATGCCTCGATATTGTCTGAATGTTAATTACGACAATTCTGTTGATTGTGGCTAGCAGAAGAATCCAGGACTCGTGTCTCATCCTATTTGGGACTCGTCAGCTGGATGTACCTGCATCCCAGTCTCTTTTCTCCTTGATATTTGTCGAATATAAGCGTTTTAATTTTTAATAAACAGTTATGCTTAAGCCAAATCTTTCATTCAGAAATTCAAGTGTGGCTTCTTTTATCCCTACCTCTTTATGTCTATCACATACAAGATGGAATATGAAGTGATCAGATAAAATACTGGAGATAAAGGTCGATGACGTAATCTTCTAATTCTTTGGTGAATATTTACTTAGCGTAGATTCAGACTGTATTTACATGTTCACTGTTTGTTTTTCTGATCCGTTTTGGCGCTCTTTATGATAAACGTTAGAGATTCTATTAATTAAAATTATTCACCCCATTTCCCCAATTGTATTATTGTCTTATTATAGTAGTAATAATGATATGATAATCGCTTTATTCTAGACAACATGTGTGATACATTATGGAATTCTCATCAGGTAATGTTTCAACAACTATACTCCTTGTACAATATTTTTAAAAGGAGGGATTTTTTGCACCTGAATGGTGTTAATAATAACAGTATTGAAGGTACTAATGTGAAATGGATGACTGGTGTTACATAAGCGTCTGGTCTTGACTTGTGTACGAATACAAAATCGAGTGTAATTATGATGGTGACATTTCAGTTAGCCAGTATCAAAACCTGATATTCCATCTAGGTATCCTAAGAATAGTAATTCCTGTATTTTTGAGCATTTATATGTTCATTTACATCTGATGTAACGTTTTTTCTTTGTTCCTTTCTTATTTTGAGAAACGACAATTTGAAAGTATTTTAAAAATTTGCCAGATTACATGATACTTTTTAGAAGACATATATAAAAGATTAAAACAAACTGAAAGGGAAGAATTTGGTAAAATATATATTTGATGGAAAATGTTTAGTAGCCCAAAGTTTAAGCAGACCGCCTTGATGTTTATTGTTTTTATCTGTTTTTTGCTAAACTGGAGGAGATGAGAGATGTTTTTACTTTCGCCGTACAACTCTATTCAGATATGACGTGTTCCATTGTGAAAATCCCGAAATACTTTTTCTACATCATCCTATGATTTGTGGAATATAGAATATAACTACGCAAATACACTTGAGGATATTTCATTGATCTTCATCAAGTTACTAAAGGTAGTGAAAATAATTAGTGATCTAACCGATGTTGGTAAACGACCAGAGTATTGTAATTTTTCCTTGTGCTAAAATGATTATCGCACGATAGTACTATCAGTTGGTTTGTCTTTATGACAAGACTGACTATTCTGATTGGTAGGGAAAAGGCTGATGACGACTATAGTTTCCGTATTTCATCACTAGGCTTGGTGACATCATCAATACTATCTGCATTAAGACACGATGAAACATCAAATCGCAGAAAACACAACAATATTGACACTTGGATTTGTCCAGCTTAAAATTTAACAACTGTTTATTTAAATGTATTGGAATAACTTGTAAGTTACGAACATCGATGAACACATTTTGTAGGCAGTTTTTAGATAGAGTTTCCCTATGCCATTATTTGCTGAATAGTATTGTAACTCACTACTTATTATTTTGTTTCTTTTCGTAAACAGCTTCAATTTGTCAATTCCTTCTACTCACTATTTTACACAGCGTTTTATCTGAAAGATTTGGATTTGTTAAGAAAAGTAAGTATTATTTCTAACTAGTGTTTATTAGAAATTTAAAAAAATTAGTCGTTTCCCTCTTATGTCGATGTATGCCAACAGATGTATTTTATTTGTCCCTTGGGTTCCTAGTGGAACATAGGGCTTCAGTAGCATGTCTCCATTTCACTATGTTCTCTGCAGTATTCTCAACCTGGCTCCACCACTGCCCACAAGCTCTCATTTCTTCCTCACATGATCTCCTCTATGTCACCCTCACCTCGGACGCCCAACTCGCCGTTTCCCATCTATGTTCCACTCGAGTGCCTGTCGCATGACATCCCCAGTCGGTCTTCTCAGTGTATGCCCAGTTCAATCCATCTCCACTTCCTTCTGCATATTTGTTGGGCAATAGGTACTTGTTGTGTTCGTTCCCTGAGTTGCTTGTTGCTTATTCTTTCTGGCCATTTGATCGATCTTCAGTATGGAGTGTAGGCGGTAGCTGCAGAGAACATAGTGAAATGGAGACATGCTACTGAAGCCCTATGTTCCACTGGGAACCCAAGGGAAAAATAATAATTACAATAATAATCCTTCCTCTTCCTTTGTGATAAGGGTAGTAGTATTTTCCAGATGTTTAGGACAGGTGCATAATCATTTCTGTTGCATGTGTTGGCTGTTGACTCAGTAAACAAAGATTCGGTTATCAATCTCTCCCTTCATCCAACTAAGTTTTTAATACTTTGTCTCTATCCCACCATATTGTGTGGTTGTGTGCTATTGCGTACATAGCTACAGGAGAGCTTTTTCTAAGTTTCTTATCTTATTATGATATACTTGTCTTGATTTAGCTGAATTTTTGTGTTCTATTATTCTAACTGACCAAGGTCGACAACTTTGACGTATGTATTTGACATCACAATCATTACAAGGGACTTAGTAAACGCAATTATTCTAAAAATGTCTCAAAGTTATGTAGTTATCTTGATCTGACTTTGGACAGTAAATTGTGTCCGAAACGTTGTCCAGTAGATGATACTGTATCACTGTGTGACAATTCTAATAAACAGAATAAAATGGAATTACAATCTACCACAGTATCCAAGTTTTACTTCTATATTAGGTTAGTTTTGAGTACTGTCACTGTGTATCACTCTATTGTGTGATTGTGTATAACTGCGTGCATAACTACACCCAAGCTTTTCTCTAAATGTTTTCTCTTATAATGATCTGCTAATCTTGATTTAGCTAAAGCTTTGTGCTCTGTTATTCTTATTAAGCGTGGCCGACTACTTTGACCTATGTATTTGACCTCATATTCATTGCAAGGGAGTTAATAAACCAAATTATTGAATTGCATCAATAGGATGTTCTAACCTAGAAAGCTTGTTTGTGAGTTTCTTAGTTTAAATGCTGCTGTAATTCCAGCCTTATTCAGAATTCTTCGTAACGCTTCTGAAGTGTCTTCTTTGTATGATAACACAGCTGAAGCTTTGAATTCTCTCAACCCTATCATCAACCAAAGGCCACCATGCCGAAATATCCAATAAGGTTTCGCTATTTTAGGAAGAAATCTATCTTTCTAGGCTACGTAGAGAAACTTAACTTTTTAACTGCGAAGTTACTTAGATGGTCTTTCGAGTTATTCGATTTTCGTGTAATAAATAAATCTAATTGGTTATTTCAGTAGTTGCTATGTCCCCCTTTATGATTGAATTACTCTAAAGACCATCATAACAACTGCTGAAATAGTCAATTCATTTTAGAAAAACTACTTTTGTAAAAGAAATAAAGACCTAATTGATTATTGCACTCATGACCTTAATAGCTACTTGATTTATCAGGATAACTGTATGGTGTAAGTCAGACATTGTTATATAATTATCACTTTCTGGGCACTTGACCATCTGAATATCTTTGTATTTGCCTACGTTTCGCCTCAGCCTGTTAATCACTAGTTAGAATAAACACAAGGCGGAATATTTACAGCTAATTAGTCTTTCTTCCCCTTTACTGAGATTTACAACTGATGCCTTTATACAGCGGAATCACTTGTCCACAACACAGTAACTTACCGATATACACTGAAGCCATTTAGACTATAAAAAATGATGGCATAGCCAACATCTAACTGACTTTTATTTTTCAATGAAACAGCATGTAACGAAAATTAGCAAGTTACAAAATTATGTCTTGAAATCATTTCTGAGTAAATTGTCTCTAAAATTAATACGATAATCTAACAAAAATATTATTATTATTATTATTTGTCCCTTGGGTTCCTAATGGAACATAGGACTTCAGTAGCACGTCTCCAATGCTCTCTGTTCTCTGAAATCTTTTGAACCTGGCTCCACGACAGCCCACAAGCCCTCATTTCCTCCTCGCACGATCTTATCCATGTCACCCTCGGACGCCCAACTCGTCGCTTCCCATCGGGGTTCCACTCGATGGCCTGACACGTGATGTCGCCAGTCGGCCTTCTCAGTGTATGCCCAATCCATCTCCACTTCCTGCTACTGCATATTTGTTGAGCGATAGCTTCTTGGTTGGTTCGTTCCCAGAGTTCCTTGTTGCTTATTCTTTCTGGCCATCTGATCTTCAGTAGCGAGCCAGCGTAAGCAGTTGTTGATGAATGTCTGTAGTTTGTTGGAAATGCCTTTCGTAGCGCGCCAAGTCTCTGAGCCATACTGGAGCACTGATTTGACGTTGGTGTTGAAAATCCGTATCTTGTTCCACATGCTGAGTACAGAAGATCTCCACACTGGTTTTAGGCAATTGGACACCTGTCTTGCTTTTCCGATTCTGACTTTGACATCCTCGTCTGTGCCACCTGTAGTTGAAACAGTGCTTCCTAGATAGGTGAAGGAGGTTACTTCCTTTAAGTTTCTCCCGTTGATGGTGACTGGAGTTTGTTGTTGTTGTTAGTGTTGTTGGTTGGGTATCTTCAACACCTCTGTCTTCTCTATATTCACTTGAAGTCCCATCTTCGCTGCCCTGCCTCTTCTATCAACTTGTTAGTTTTCGCCTGTAGATCTTCAAGTTTGTGCCACGAGACACTAGACACAAGTCATCGACGAAGTTCGAGTCTTCTAGGTTCTTTTCCGCGGTCCAGCGTATCCCCCTGTTCTCGCTCCCCACTGTTTGTTGCATGATCCAGTCGACCACAATCAAGAATATCATGGGTGATAGTAGACAGCCTTGTTTCACTCCTGTCTTTACTTCAAAAGCATCACTGAGCTTCCCATTGTGAATTACTTGGCATGTGGCATCTTCATATAGTTGTTGAATGAGGCTGATAAAGGTTTGTGGCATTCGGTAGTGTTGAAGCAGTTGTCTGCCAAATTACTTCTCGATCGACGCTGTCAAAGGCCTTTTCAAATTGGATGAAGTTGAGGTATAGGGTTGACTGCCATTCTATACTCTCTTCTATGATGATGCGTAGCATAGCGTTGCAATTTGGTCTGCATATGATTTGTACTTCCTGAAGGTAGCCTGCCTGTTGCGGTCGTAATTTTGAATCCAGTGCATCCTTTAGTCGCTCCAGGATGGTGCGGCTTAAGAGTTTGCTTGAGCTGGACAGGAGCGTGATTCCATGCCAGTTCTTGCAACTACTTAGGTCTCCGTTGTTTGGGAGTTCGACAAGTTAGCCCCTCTTCCAATCAACATGCAGGTACCTTTCCTTCCTTCCAAACCTTCTGCAGTAGTTGTGTGAGGATGTCCGCTGTTGTCTCTGCATCTGTCATCTGCATCTCTGCACTGGTTCATCTTCTGCTTCATCATCCTCCTCTCCCTGATCTATCAGCTTGCATGTGTCCGTCGAGATCCATTCCTTATCTTCTTTCTTCTTCCTTCCTAATACGGTTATGCAGACTTCTTTGCACATCTCTGTCAAAGAGTTCCAGTGCTCATCCACACAGGTTTCTACAGGGATGTTGCTCGATATCTGCCATTTTGTCTTGAGGGCTGACGTGGAGATTTTCTTTGTAGTTTCGTCCTTCAGTTCAGTTTGTGTTCTGGGTGTTGAACTTGAACTGTGGTCTATCACCAACTTCTTTGGAGGCTTTCAATTCGATTTTGAAGGTTCCTTGCACTAGATGGTGGTGTGTGGTCCGAGCCTACATCTGCTCCTCTTCTTGATCTTGTGTCTAGTAGGCTGCGTCCCCACTTTCTTGAGATTGAGATAAAGTTGATTTGACTTTTAGTGTAATGTGTCCTGGTGTCTGGTGAAATCCATGTCGCTTGCTTTGTGAATATCCTTGTGCTTGAACACACTGCCTGACTCCAGTCACCAAATCGTTAAATGCACAGAATTCTGCAAACAATTCTCCATTCTCGTTCATTTCACCGAGTACTTATCAACCCATGATGAGTTCTCTTCCTGTGTTGTCTGCTCCTCGCAGTTTGGCATTCACGTCACCCCACCCCACTCCACCCATTAGAATTTTGATGCCGCCATCTGAAGTGGAGTCTTGTTTATTACTGATTGCAGTTGTCTGTAGAATTCTTCCTTGTTCTCTTGATGTGCATTATTTGTAGGTGCGTCACATTGTATGAAAAATCTGTTTTAGTTGGAATATATTTCAAGGGAAAATGAAACATGAAATAGCTTTTTATTAAGTAATCTAGAGAAACTATGCATGAGATTTAGACAGCATATGTAGAAAACAATCAGTACATTATACCACTAGGAACATTTACTACAAATCATGTATACATATATATATATATATATATATATATATATATATATATATATATATATAAGAGAGAGAGAGAGAGAGAGAGAGAGAGAGAGTATTCATCACGGACGGACATCGGTTGGGGGACAGTTAAGATCCTGGGAGCACTGGACGTCTGTTTCTTCCTAGCATGGGACTCCTCTGCAGTGCACACACACGACCCAGCTAGGGGTCGAACTCAGGGCCTTAGGGTTTCATGGCGAATGTGTTAACTGTTCAGCCACAGGGTCGGTTTTCAGTGGCTCACAGTTATCAACTTCTATCAACTCAAGTTATAGCACGATTATCACCCATGGTCTT